TGATCCCCAAATTCCATCAACGATCCCCAAATCCCACAGAACCCTCCACCTCACTTCTTCTGGCCACCAAATTGAATCTCGGGATCCTGATCATGAAATGTTAGAGGGAAGGATGGGAATTTGAAGAGCGGAAGCTTGTGGACAGTGTCCCATTCCTCCATAACTGTCCAGAAGGTGGGACCAAAGTCCAGAGAGGGCAGGGAACTGGGAGGGCACACGGCGATGGAGAGAAGGCCCGGATGGGCCGAGAACCTGGAGGCCAGCTTCCCAGTCCCAACGACTTGACAGACAGCGCCGAGGGCGGAGCGTGGCACAAGGGAGGGCTCAGGCAATGCGGGAGAGAAGGAGCCTGGTCGGCCATTCCTTCCCCTGCCTACGCTGTCCCACTCGGTGCCTGTTAAGGCTAACAGATCCCTGGGGGGAATCAGCCTGATCCAGCCTCCAGTCAGTGGCACCCCTGCACCTCCTGCCCAGCTCCTGCCCAGCTCCTGCCCAGGCAGAGGGAGGACATGCAGGTGCCCAGACAAAGTGTCCGGGGCCCAGCAGCGGCGGCGGCCTCGTGCTGCTCCACGCGGGGGAGGTGGATGGTGGCCTGCCAGCTCTCCCACTCATTTCGAGCAGATGGTGGCTTCCCAGGGAGGCCTTGCCTCGCCATCTGCAGAGGCACCTTCAAACCTGGAGCAGAGAGGACAAAATGAACACCTCAGGACCTCCAAAAGCCACCCACTCCCTGTCTGCTTTGGTACTGTCGCCCCCGGAAGGGGGTCTGGAGAAACTGCACCAAAAGGCTGAAGGGACCCCATCTCCACTCTAGGAGCTGAGATTCGGGGCCAGAGCCCAGGGATCCTGGTTCCCAACCCTGTTGCATAAAAGTGACAGTGGGGGGACCCACCAGTTCTTGGGCTTTGAGGTCAGACCTGCATGGACTTGTGTGGCCGAGGGCAAACAACCACACCTCTCTGAGCCTCAGTTTCCACATCAGGAAATCAGGCTGCTCCGAGGCTTATATCAGTTAATGCCTGAAGAACTGGCTGCCATCGCGAAGATAAATAAAGACGACGCTTCTGAGCCGCGGAGAGGGGTGGGGCTGTGCTGGGTGCTGAGCGGCGGGGAGCTAGAAGGAGGCTCTCCAGGCAGCTGGCTGGCCCGGGAGCTGGAGTGTGTAAGGCCAGATCTTGTCCTGAAAATGGAAGGCAGGGCTGGGCAGGCTCCAAGGTGCCCTCTGAGGCAGGGAGCTGGGCGCGGCAGTGGGTGGGCCAAGAAATACAGCAGGAAGGGGTGAGTCTGCCCTGGGCGACAAGCCCCTCTCTGTTCCCAGCATCCCAGAGGCCCCAGGGAGCCCGAAGCTGCCCACATCACAGCGCACGAATGCCAAGATGGGGTTCACATATTTTTTTTTTCAAATGTTTCTACTTTTTAAAAAACATATATTCTTTAGTTGTCAATGGACCTTTCTTTTATTGGCTTATATATGCGCAGTGCTGAGGGTCCACCCCAGTGCCTCACACAGGCTAGGCAAGTGCTCTGCCACTGAGCCCCAGCCCCAGCCCCAGCCCCAGCCCCAAGGTTTAGATATTTCAAGACAGTTCCTTGACAGTCCTGCTGGTCCCAAGAACAGGGACTGGGCTGGCGCTGTTTCCCACCATGTCCCAGCACCTAGACACTCTGTGGCAGCACCCAGATCACCCTGCCCAGTGCCGGGATGACTGGAAGGTGAGCCCTCAGTGCCCTCTCAGCCTCACTGGGCAGGCATGGAGACCCAGGAGCAAAGGCCGACGTGTCTGGCCCCAAGGTTGTGGTCAAGCTGGTGACAGGATGGGGTGGGCACCAGGGCTCTGGACCAGCACCCTGTCCTCGTCTTCCCCACTGAGGAGGATCTACTAACTTTCCTTCCTCCCTCCCTCCCTCCTTCCTTCCTTTTCTTTTCTCTTCCTTCCTTCCTTCCGAGTGTTGACGGCTGTATTTCCAAAAAGGAAACATATTTCTCTTTTGCCCCCAATTTTAAAAAATCATATGCTCTCCATTTGAAAAAGTCCAGAAGATACATAAATACTTTAGACATGACCAATCATCATCCCAACACCGGGGGATAACCTTTGTGAACATTTTATTATCAATAATAATAATTGCTGATGGACTGCTGGCTGTCGGCCAAACCTTTGCCAGCGGCTTCAAAATCCACACCATCCTGAGATTTCTTTTGGGGGTGAAGGAAATATTCTAAAATTAGACTGCGGAGATGGTTTCACGACTCCATAGATATACTAAAAATCCTTGAATTATACACTTAACATGAGTGAATTTTATGGTATATAAATTTTTTATTACACCGCAATAAAGCTGCTTAAGGGATCTGCGTCCTCTGGATTGATCCTCCCACGGCTGAGGGAGGCTGATGCCATCAGTTTCCCCATCTCCCTGGGGAAGAAACTGACACTCAGAGAGATAAAGTCCTGTGCCCCTGAGCTGGGTCCCTATCCACGTTTCAGAAGCTTCTTGACTCACCAAACAACACGCTGGAGCCATTCAATCTGGAGCTACATCTGGATTCACCAGCAGCTTGATAAGAAGGAGCCCCAGCTCTACCACAGAAGTGCACCCCTGCTCCAGGCCTTCGTTTTCCCATCAGTGAAATGGGAGCCAATGTAGCAGCTCCCTCCCTGCACTGTAGAGGGGATGCCCTGAGGTCCTGGCTGCGGAAGGTCCCACAGAGGGTGCCCACTGGGCAACCAGACCTGGATACTGGCAGGCACTGGGTACCTTCTTTGTACTCCCTCCAGCTGGGGACTGGGGAAGCAGGTGAGCGTGACTCAGCTACAGAGATCCTCCTCCTCCTCCTCCTGGCTAGTGGCCTCCTTTTTCCCTGTGCTGAGACCAGAGGTGTCTGAGCCGGCGGTGATAAAAGAGTAACATGGGAATGAATGGATTCGAGGTGAAAAGTAGCCACGGTCATTGCTGTTGTCTGTCAGGACATCCTAAGAGGAAATAGAGGCCGTACCCCACACCAGGAGGGTCAGGTCGCGGGGCGGGTGATCGGGGTGGCGCCCTGGAGTAGGTGACGGCTGACGAGAGACTCGGAGGAAGGAGCCAGTGAAGCAGGGAGACGGGGCCGGGGCTACGGGGAGCAGCGGGCACCCAGGACCATGGGAAAGGGCTCAGCTCACTCTTCCCATGACCTGTAAGCTCCGGTGGCCCAGGAGGCAGCGGCTGGGGAAACAGGGCCGGGGGCCAGGCCTCAGGGGCCCAACTCGGGAGCTGGGGCCTGGTTATGAGGGCAGGGTCTCCACAGTAGGCTTCAGGCAGAAGAGGTTAGATGGGGGCTTGGAGAGTCCCCCACTATTGTGCAGAGAATGGCTTGGGAGGAGAGAGGCGCTGCCCCAGTGGCTGAGAGGGGTGAAGGCAGTAGAGGTCAGGGGTAGGTAGACAGGGCAGGAGGCTGGACTGGATGGGGAGGGTGAGGGGAGGTGGATCCCGGGGCCTCTGGCCAGGGCCCTGGGAAGATGCCATCTAGAAGACCGTCCTGAGTATCTTTCAACCTGGTATTCCTTTCCCCCGTTGCCTAGGATAATTCCGAGTTGCTAGAGCTGCTCTCCAGACCACTTTCAGTTTTTTTGGTTTTTTTTAATATTTATTTTTTAGTTGTAGGCGGACACAATGTCTTTATTTTAATTTATGTGGTGCTGAGGATCAAATCCAGTGCCTCACGCGTGCTAGGCGAGTGCTCTACCTCTGAGCCACAACCCCAGCCCTTGTTTTTGTTTTTGGTACCAGAGATTGAACCCAGGGGCACTTAACCACTGAGCCACATCCCCAGCCTAATTTTAAATATTTTATTTAGAGACAGGGTCTCGCTAAGTTCTGAGGCTGGCTTTGAACTCATGATTCTCCTGCCTCAGCCTCCCAAGCCGCTGAGATTACAGGCGTGCACCACTGCACAGGGCTCCACTCTCAGTTCTTACCCAGACCTCAGTCCAGGGAGTGGGTAAGAGTGCAGAGACGCCAGGGGGAGCAGAGGAGAGGGGAGACGGGGTGGCACACGTGTGTGGAGACCTGTGCCGCTTCCTGTCCTTCCTCTTGATTTAATCGCTGTGTGACTTCGGGCAGGTTCCCTACCCTCTGTGTGCCATTTGGCCATCTGAAAACCTGGGGTGTTCATTTCTGCTGCTCTGCAAGTGGGATGTTGATTCCAAGAAGACTGCGGTGGGCACTGTCTTCCTTAGACATGGGGAATCGGGCCCTGATCCTGGGTCTCACACTCGGGGACCCTCTGGACTTTGTCCGGCTTCACCCTCCCTGGGGGGCGAGGGGCCAAGGGAAGGTCGCCAGCTAGAGCCGGCAGACCCCTCCCAGGCTACCTTGGGAACCCTGGGATCCCCTCTCAAGCAGTCCCTAGCCCACCCCTGGGTCTGCCTCCTGCAATTGGATTTTGTTTCAGGGGGCAGCACAGGCCCAAGGAGGGTCCTTCTTGGGCCCATGGAGGAGCGGAGAATGAGGGCCGGGTGAGCTCTGGAGGCTCCTGGTGGCGTGAGGTGGACTGAGGAGGGACCAGGGCAGCCCAGGGAGAGGGCCCATCTGTCCCCACCCAGAGGGACCCCAAGTCCTAAATTCAAACCCAGCCTACCAGGCGGTTGTGAAGGTGTGTGCGTCAAGGTGGGAGAACAGAACGCCTCGTATTTAGCAGCCGCAGCTTGATTTATAGCTGGATTGTTTGGCCATATGGCATGTGGGCCTCCATTTCTGCTCTTGCCCACGTCTGACAACACTGTACCCGTGACTGGCTCCTCTGCCGCTGCCCCACCCACCTGCCTGCCCACCCCACCCTCTGCCTTCCCACCCTCTGACCCCGGCCAAAGCCTGGGAAATTCAGTCTCCTGGCACCGGGATCAGATGCTGAGTGCCAGGGTCACCTTTCATTCCTAGCTCCTCTGGGCCACCAGGAGGGGCGGGGTTTGGGCAGAACGTCCCTGGCAGGGCACCTTTCCTTAAGTCCAGCCCCCAGGAATGGATTCCACACACGGCCCCTGGCAGCACTGCTGAGCATGGGGCAGGTGTGTGCACTGAGGCACACGGAGGCTGGCGCCCAGGGCAGCTGCCACAGCTCTCTGGGGACAGGGACAACAATCCGGCCTCCCCAACCTTCTCAGTCTGGCCTGTGGCCTCTGCCTCTCACGCAGGGTCCTTCACCAGGGTCCTCAACCTCGCAGGCTGCTCCCCTCTTGGGGCCGAGCAGGCACCTGGACTGGTTCCCTCTGCTTGTCCAGCCTTAGTGCCACCTCCGGAGGGCCTTCTCTGACCCCAGGCCACGGCTTCTCTTCACTCTCAGGCTCCTGTGGGATCCTCGTGGATTTCACAGTCGCCTGTCCTCTCGGCTGGGACCCTCCCGAAGCACAGGTAGGTCCACCTTGTTCTCAGACCTGTCCCTGGGGCCTGGCACAGGGCAGGCTTCAAGGAAATATCTGCAGTCAGACCCCCTGCCTCAGATCCCAGTTAACCCCTCGTCTTCTCTGGTCTCAGTCTCCCAACCTAAGAAATGGGAACAACAGTGTGCGCCCCAAAGTGTTCGGGGACAGCAACAGAGCTTTACAGTGGGGAGTGGGTGTCTCCCAGAGGAGGTCCAGGCCTGACCAAAGAAGGGCTCTCAGAGGCCAAGGCCAGCACCAGGCCCCTGGGGAAGCAGCTGGGGACCCACATGGGGTGTAGGTAGGCAGCCACCTAAAACCCTGGCTCCATCCAGGCAGAGGCTCCCAGGGGTCCCCTACCCCACCTGGATGGAGCCGATCCCCTCCCCGACTGTGGCCCCCTCCCAGGCTGCAGGACACCAAGGCCTTGCCTGCCCAGGCCCCAGCAGGGATGAACTGGCGCGTCCTCCATGCCAGGCCCTCCGGTTCCGGCTCTAGTGCAGTCCCACCAGGGAGGTGTCATTGTCCCCATTTTACAGATGAGGAGACAGCAGCTGGGCAGGGGTGGAGCACACGCTCCAGGTGGGCCACCCTCAGGCCTGGCTCCCGCCCCCGGCACCTCCCTCTCCGCAAATCCCCCCTGCCTCAGCCTTCCAGGGGCTGGAGGGCGGGGCGGGCCCAGCTCCTCTGCCTGCCCACGGAGGACACGCCTCTGGCCCTGGAGGAGCGCTGGGGAAGGACGCAGGGAGCAGAAGGGCACTGGACAGGCCCCTTGACCTAGGGCCAGGTGTGTGACCACGGATTGCTGGGGCGTGCTGGGGGCCACGGATCCTCCTCTGCACTTACCCCAGAATGAGCTCATCCACTCTCCGGGTTTAGAGTCCATTTCTACACCGACAACTCCCAAATTTCCACTTCCAGCCCGCCTTCCCCCAGCTCCTGACACTTCCCAGGAGGAGTCTACCGGGCACCTCAGGCTCACGATGTCCAACCCAGCCCCCTCTTCCCTGGCCCCAATCTGCCCTGCCCCCCCCCATCCTCCCTGACTCCATCAACGGCGACATTCCTGCCTCGGAGCATGGGTCAAAGAACTTTTTGTTCTCGCCCTTTTTTTCTTTTTTTAAAAATTTGAGACAGAGTCTTGCTAAGTTGCTTAGGTCCTCACTAAGTGCTAAGGTTGGCCTCAAACTTGTGATCCTCCTGCCTCAGCCTCCTGAATCGCCGGGATGACAGGCCCTGAAGTCATTTTTGATCCCTCTTTCCCACCTTTTGTGTCCACCCACCACAGATCCTGAACCTCACAATTCTCACCAGAGGTATGGCCCTGCCCGAGGCCCCCGCCTCGTGCCCATGCAGCAGCCACTCTCTCGCTTTCTCTCTGACCCCGTCCCCAAGTCACACACTTGCCAGAATCAGTTAAAGTCACTGAACTTACTTAAAGGCTTCCAAGAAAAGTGAAGACACACACACATTCCTCACCAAGCCCCTGCCTGCCTACCTCTTTCGTCTCATCTCTCCTGGCCGGGCACACACCAGCCCCAGGGCCTTTGCCTTTTGTCCTGCCCCAGGGCCTTTGCATTTTCTGTTCCCTGGCCCACAGTTCTCCCCAGCTACTCTCACAGCTCCTCTCTGTTCAATGCTCACCCTGGTGCCGCCTGCTCCTGGAGGCCTTCTCTGCCCTCCCAACGCTGGCCACACTCCTCTGCCTTTGTCTCCTCCCTGCAGAATCCCTGGCCTCAAGGCCCTGTGGCCTCCAGGAATGCTTGCTAAATGACCCGAGGAGCCAACCTCCATTTGCCCTTCTGTGAAAGGGGAGTGAAGACATAGCATAGATCTAGACAAGTCCCAGCAGGGTCCTGGGCAGCTGCCGGGCCACCTCCATCGCAGAGCTGGTGGCAAGGTCCTCCTGGGTACCCAGGAGCCCAGACTAGCCTACCTCAGCTGTTTTCCTCCAACGGGATTCCACTTCCTCTCCTGGGGGGGTTGGCTCCTGGGAAGCCCCAGGAGGCAGAGCTACTGTTACCATGCTCACCAGACTGGGGACCCAGCCCTGGGTGGAGAGGTCGGAAGCCTGTGAGGGAGCGGGCAGGGCTGCTGCGGGCCACTGAGCCTCGGTTTCCCTGCTTGTGCCCCAGCACTGGTCCCCTCCCTCGCTTCCAGGATCCCAGTGCTCTCCCACCCCTCCCCCACATTTAGAGGAGGGCTCTTCCAGCTCCCTGGGCCGGTGGGTGTCAGGCACCCTACACAGCTTTCTTCGGGGATCCCGGCAAGAGTGTTGAGATGCGGAGGGCAGCAAGAGGGCCAGGCCTCCTGAGCAGAGTTCACACCTCGCTCTGCCACTGGACGAGCCAACAGTGGCTGAATCTGCTGGGGCTGGGGCTGGGCTAGGGGCTGGGGCCAGGGTGGGGCTAGGGCTGGCCTGCTGCCCAGTGGACTCCAAGAAGCGGGAGCCAGGAGCGGCACACAGCTAGACTGGCAACACCTCCCTCTACATGTTTACAAAAGGGCTTTGCCACCCATGAACTCGCGTCCCACAGCCCTGGCTCAGGAAGGCAGGGCAGCAGTTGTCAGGGTTCCCATTCCTCAGATAAGGACAACGAAGTCCACACACCTGCACGTTCCCATGCCCAGCGCAGGGACTGGCCCTCAGAGGCTGCTGTTGGTCACGATCAGGAACCAGGGCTTGGAGTCTGACATGGGCTGCACTTCCTGAATGTGTGACCTTGGCAAGGCATCTAATTAACCTCCAGGGTCTCAGTTTCCCCATCTGTAGGGTGGGCATCACATGCCTGCCTCTGGGGGGCTGCTGTGAGCCTGTGGAGGACTCAGCAAGGTGTGGGGCATGAGGGAGGGGCTGCAGGGACAGGAGCTGAGGTCCCTGACTCTATACCCCTGCCCAGACCAGCTGGCCTGGCACAGCAAATATTTAACAAGAGGTAGAATATGGAACAAGTGCTGGACACCCTTGGGTACCGCTGTCTCCAAGGTACCCTCTGCCCTAACCCTGAGTGCTGGACAGGGCTGTGGGAAGGGGCAGAATATGTTTCTCTGCAGCTCTGGGGTCACGTGATCTGAAGGGGTGTTCTGTAGGAGCTGTCCTGGAGAGACAGAAGGCCTCCCTCTGTGCTGACCAGATGGGCATGTCCTGGGGGGAGACTTTCCAACATCCCACAGATACTCAGGTCCTTCCCTTGACTCTCTAGGGTTGGCAGTGGTCTTCCCAGGACATTTGAGGGGCAGGAACAACTATGCAGTCCATTCCAACTGTTATATTAAACATGTGACAACTGAGGGTCAGAGAGGGCAAGAGACTTGCCTGAGGTTTCAAAGCAGAACCTGGATGTCACCCTACAGAACTGCTGTCCCTTGGGGGGAGGGGCCCCTGCCTCCTTTCCCACGTGCCAACCACTTCCTTAGCCATGAAGGTCATCGGAAGAAAGCCAGGTTCCTGGAGAGTGGAGGGATGTTGATGATGGAGGGGAAGGTCAGTGTCAGCTCTCCTGCCTCCTGCCTCAGCCTGCCCAGCCCCCCATCCGCTTCCAGCACCAGCGGAATCCTCTCTGCTCCTTCTCAGCACCAGAAAGCCACCTCTATCTTCTCTGTCTCAGAGGGGAGCCTGGAGTGTCACGACCTGCCCGCGCCCCCCCATCCCAGGACGCTTTGTCTTTGCGTTTGCTCCCCACTCTGTCACCTGGCCCTCCCAGCGCCTTGTGGGATCAGAGGCGGGAGGGGGATTAGGTTCTGCAAATGGCTCCCCCTGCCCGCCTCCTGCCTCCTGTCTTAGTCATCTCTGCCCTCCGCTGCCTGCTCCCTCCATCACAATCCCTCTGCCAGGCCTTGGGGAGGACGACACTGGCAGGCGCCCCCGACCCAGGGGCAGCGGCGAGGCCAGGGGCGGCAGCTGAGAAGCGACCCCAAGTGTTTTCTCCCCCCCTCCCCTTCCTCGTCCCGCAGCCCGCGCCCCCCCTGCGCCGCGCTGCGCACGGATGGCGGCGGGAGCCGCAGAGGTGTGTGTGTCAGCGGGGAGACTGCCTGGTCCTCGATGCCCACGGGGCTGTGTCCTCTTCCAGGACCTGGGGGAGGTCCCTTGTCACGGTCCAGGGGCTGACCCCTTGGAGCCTAGGAAAGGGGGCACTGCCCCGGGGGTGCTGCCCGGTCCTAGGGTCTCCCGGGCCGAAGGGAGGCGCTGAGTAATGCGGCCCCCGCGGAGACCATTGGGTCTGGGGGCACCTCTCTGCTCCCGGCAGAGCGCTGTCTCCCCTAAAGGACGGGGCGGAGGAGGGGGCGTGATTCCGTGGCCCGGGGCTGGCCGACGACTGCAGACTAGCCGGGGGCGCCGCCGCCCCCAGGGGCTCGCGGTGGGGGAGGGCCGCCTCCTCCCGCAGCGGGTGGGGGCGCGCTGTCCGCCGGCGCAGCCCGGGGGCTGGGAGGTCGCGGCGCCGTCGGAGCCCGGGGCCCCGGGGGTGGGGGGCGCGCTCGGGGGCGCGCCGCTCCTACCTGCCTACGAAATTCTCAAGCACCGAGCTCTTGCCGGCGCTCTGGCCGCCCACCACGGCGATCTGCGGCAGGTCGAGGTCCGCGTTCTGGCCGATGGCGGAGAAGGCATCCTGCAGCCGGTTGACCAGCGGGATGAGATCCTCCATGCCCCGGTTGCCCATGGTTGCGGCGGGCCCCGCGGGCTGCGATCCGGCCGCCGCTCCCGCTCCGGCTCCCGCTCCCGGCTCCGGCTCCGGCTCCGCCGCTGCAGCCGCGCGCCCCGACTGCGTGCGCCGTGGGCCCCCCGCCCCTCGGGGATCCGAGCGGAGCACTACGTCGGACCGCCACGAGAGGGCGTCGGCGGCCCTGCGGGCAGGCGGCCGTGCGCAAGCGCCTCCAGGGGTATTATGGGTGTTGTAGTTTTCTCCTTCTGCGGCTTTTGGGGCGATTTACCAGTATCTAGGGGTACTGATGCTGTGCAGAGGATACCGTTTCTGGAAGTGGGCTGTATACCACCCCTCACAATGGGCTATTGGATGGTGGTCACAGCTGTCTTACTCCATCTTACAGTTGAGGAAAACTGAGGCCTGGAGAGACTATCAAATTGCTCCAAGGTCACAGTCCCCTGACAGAGTTCCTCTTGACCTTGCTGCCTTCTGCCCTAGGTTCTGACACTAGTCTCCTGCATATCCTTTCCTGTCTGAGCCTCATTTTCTCTGTTCCTAGAAGGAGAAAGATGGAGCATTAATTCAACAATACTTACTGAGCACCTACTATAAACCAGGCCCCATCCTAGGCCTGGAGATTCAGCACTAATAAGATAGCCAGGTCTCTGGCCTCACAGATCTTACACAAAGCTGGCAAGATAGACAGGAACCGATGAGCAGGCAAATGGAATAGTAAAAGCAGAAACCTTTCATAGCAAGAGCAATGGAAGAAATAAATGGGGAGTATGAAGCGTTATCTGTGGGTGTGGAAAAGTCGCTTTAAACTGGAAGGAATTAGGGTTCTCCAAAGAAGTGACCTCAGAGAAGAGAGTCTGTCACGGGCAGATCAAGAGGAAGAGCAGAGACAAAGATCTCAATGCTAATAAGACCCTTGGGAGAGTTAGAAGTTCTTGTCCTAGACAGAGATGCCCTTTACCTGACTCCATCAGGATGGTGGCAAAATATGGGATTCGAATCCAGGACCACCGTAACCCTTTCCTGCTAAGTCCTTCCACACAGAGAGGCCCTGAGGTGCCAGGCCCAACCATCTGCCTCTTCACTTAAGAAACAATTTGAACTCTCCACCCGGAGGCTAGAAAGGGAGGCAGCATACTTTGATGTTTGGAGGCTCAGCAGGTCATTTCCCTGTGTGGGTCCAGAGCAGTGACCCAGGAGTTGGAGACTGTTCAGTTTTCATGCACGGAGTACATATTATGGAACCAGGCACTGTGCTAGACCCCAGAGATATAGCTGCGAGCAAAATGACATGTTGCTTACTAAAATGTAGCTTACAGGCTAATGCAAGAAAGAGGGATGAAACACGAGTCAGCCAATAGACACAAGCTTGCCATATGGTGACGAGCAAGGAAGCAGGTCTGCAGGCCAGGAAGCAGGGTCAGGGCAGGGTTTGTTTTGCTGTGGAGACTGGACACAGAACGGGTTGGTCAAGAGCAGACTTGAAGCAAGTAAGGGACTGCCCCATATAGGGGACGAATTTTCCAGGCAGACAGGGGGAGTCAGTAGACCCTACCCCTCGGAGCCCCAGGGAGTGGGTTAGGAGTCTAGCCCAGCCTTAGACAAGCTGTCTGACCCAGGTCCTTCCACATCTCTGAGCCTTAGTTCTGTAAACTGGCTAATGGGCATGGTGCTAGAACAGAATGCCCATGTAGGGCAGGGCCTAGGCCAGGTACTCAGGAGGCTCTTATTAGTCCCCAGCTGTGAGAACCTGGATGGGGACTACTTTCCGGCCAGCTGGAACGTCAATTCCATATGCCTCACATCTGCATCCTGAGCGGCTGCTCTAAGCTGGCCTATTATTATGCTCTGAGGACCAGAGAGGGCAGTGATGGGACCTGGGATGAACAGCACATTCAATCGGGCTACATTCACAGATGTCTGCCTAGAGGGATACTGTCACTACTGGGCTTTTATTGGTTTTATCTTTTTCCCTAATTATAATAGCTAGACTTTTTATAAAAATCAGGCTTTATACAAATATTTGAAGGCCTCATGTTATCCTTGCACCAAGAGATCACGGGTATCTATAACTTAGGGTTTATCCTCTAGATCCCACCCCCCCCCATATGTATTTGTTTTGTTCTATTTTGTTTTCACAGACGGGATCATACTAAATACTTTATGATTCTGTGTGACTGATAATCACGCCAGCAGACTGGGCCTCATGGGGAAATTCAGTCTCAGGCCTCAGCAGAGACCTGTTGCATCATGACCTGTATTTAAAAAGAACCAAGGACTCCAGGAAATTTCTGTGCACATCAAAGTTAGAGAAGTTCTTATATATACTGTGTGCAACTTTCCTTTTAGAAACAATGTCTTAGACATCTTCCAAATCTGCCACATTCCTTGTTCAGGGCTGCATAGTTTTTTTACTATTTGGTAGTGCCTTGATTGTTCCCTGGTCGACTAAAAATTGCTGGGTTGGACTTGAACAATGAGTGAATGGGCTGTGTGTGGCTGCACACGTCTACAATTACAGCTACTCAGAGACTAAAAAGGATCAACCTTGGAAACTTACCAAGACTCTGTCTCAAAAAAGAAAAAGAAAAGGACTGGTGGTGTAGCTCAGTGATAGAGTACAGAGTGCTTACCTAGCATGTGTGAGGCCCTAAACCTGGGTTCCATCTCCAGTACTACCAAAAAAAAAAAAAAAAAAAGTGGGGCTGGGGTTGTGGCTCAGAGGTAGAGCGCTCACCTGGCACGTGTGAGGCCCTGGGTTTGATCCTCAGCACCACATAAAAAAATAAAATATATAGTGTCCACCTATAACTAAAAATTAAGTATTTCAAAAAGTGGGGGGAATACATCAAATACCACTTGGAGGTGTGAAGGAGGGAGAATGTGGTGGGCAGGGAAACAGCATGAAGTCTGAAGTCAGAAAGGGAACACACCTAAGCCTACCTGGCCTTGTTTTCTGCCCTGGGCTTAGCAGGGGCTAAAGGAGAGCTGTTACAGATGGGTGTCCCAGGCTCAGGGCAGCTGGGTCCCCTGGGGGCCGACGAATTGAATGAGAGTCTTAGAAATGGCTCTGACCCTCTGCTTTGAGTACCCGGGAGGCAGGATTCTCTCTCTCCAAAGTTTTGACCAACTGTGCTAAACCCATTGCATTCACTGGGCGTCTCCTTCCAGCCAGGTCACTGGGCCGAGGGAGGCGCCAGCTGTCTCCCACCCTTCATTAGCTCATTTTGACTGAGCTACAGAAAGGTAACGGAGGATGTGGCAAAGGTCACAAAGTCAAGAAGTGACTTTGAGTCAAGTTGTGGATGGAAGTGGGTGACTCAGCTTCCACACTGATATTCTCCGCCACACCCTCCACATATTTTTTAATGCACAAAACTGTACACTAGCCCCTCTGGTAGCATTTCTGTTGTGCACGTCGCAGGTGCTCAAAAACACTGGGCTGGGCGGGGTGGCTCACAGCTGTAATCCCAGGGCTTGAGAGGCTGAGGCAGGAGGATTGAGAGTTCAAAGCCAGCCTCAGCAATTTAGCAAGGCCCTAAGCAACTCAGCAAGACCCTGTCTCTAAATAAAATACAAAATAGGGTTGGGGATGTGGCTCGGTGGTCGAGTGCCCCTGAGTTCAATCCCGGTACCAAACAAACAACAACCACAAAAAACCACTAGTTGATTTGAACAGTGGCCTCATACAACTCCTGTTTCAAGCCACTATATTTAGTCACTAAGTTGCTCAGAGGCTGGCCTTTGGAGTTGCCCATTCATTCGTCATGTATTCTCCAACAGGTCTGGATCAGTGGCCAGGCTTCATGCAAGACACAGGGCATGAAGAGGTTAACAAGATGCAGGGCTCATCCTGTCCTGCGGAAAAGGGGGTTCATCCCGCCTTTACCACTTTCTGACCTGATGTCCTCCTGTCACTTATTTTACCTCCCTGAGCTCAGTTTCTTCATCTCTGAAAGGGGGATGGATAATAATAGAGCCCAACTTGTAGGAGGCTGGGAGGATTTAGTGATGTCATAACAATTTAGGGAAGCACTGGAACAGTGAATAGTGAGCGCGGCGATCAGTGTAATCGCAATCCCATCAACATGGCGCTGTCCAGAGAGAGACTTCTTCAGTCTGCCAAAGGAAGCAGAGGGTGCTGCTGGATGTGGTGACCAGGTGTGGGGAGACGAGGACCTATTATCCATACATTGGTCCTCTTCAGAAGAGATGGCCCTAAGGGCAGCAGGGGGCCTGCCCCAGGCCACTCCAGAAGACAGGGGCAGCAACAAGGTAATCCCACCTCTGTCCTCTGTCTCCTACCCCATTTATTGATAGGAAGAGGCACAGGTGGGCGGCAGCCACTGGGGAGGCCTCGTGATAAGCATATGGCCTTCCATTTCCCCTGCCTCTTGCCTGATTTGGAGTGACGCAGCCTCCAATTGGTATTCCCATCATGCCCTCCATCATTCCCAGGAGCACAGCCTGTTCCTGGGAATTCTGAGCTAGGGAGTCTGGTTGTGGGGTTCAATTTACTGCCCATTTGTGCTGCCACCATGAACACCAACTCAAGGGCAGAGGGAGGCAATTGCATCCTGGATTCGTGCATCCACTCATTCATTTACTTGTTTAATTGACTTCACCAGGCAACCCTGTGGTGTACCCGGCCATTCTAGATCCCAAGGATATGGGGACATGCAGAAGCTGCTTCCTGCCATCACGGAGTACATGACATCACTGAAGACAGAAATAATGTGGGATTACATTACCAGATTACAAAATAAAGATGCCATAGTCGATAGCCACTTAGAAAGCTTACTGGGAAAATAGTGACAATTGCCACTGTAGGAATCATACAGGTGGGGCTGGGGCTATAGCTCATTGGTAGAGTGCCCGCCTGGTATGAGGTACTGGGTTCGATCCTCAGCACCACACAAAAATAAAATAAAGATATTGTGTCCAATTACAACTGAAAAATATTTTTTAAAAAATCATACAGGTGTGTGTGTAGGGGAAGCTGGGGATATAGCTCAGTTGGTAGAGTGCTTGCCTCTCATGCACAAGGGCCTGGGTTCAATCCCCAGCACCACACACACACACACACACACACACACACACACATCACACAGGTGTTAGGCAAAGAAACTTCCAAAACTATAGCACAATGCAAAGCTTCAATATTTGGAGACTTTTACTTCATTTTAAAACTGAATAAGGATGTCATTTGTTTAACTGAAACACCTTTAATACAAAACCAGTCAAAATTCAGATGGGATTTTTGGTGTTGGAAGAAGTTTGACCAAATTCTATAATCTACATGAAAATTACATAGAAAAATATATGCAATTGGGAGTCAGCAAGAATTTGTTTTGTTTATGGTACTGGGGATTGAACCCAGGGCTTAAGTATGCTGGGCAAATGCTTTACTACGGAGTTGCACCCAGCCCAAGTATTTTTTTCTTTAAAGAATGATAATGTCAGAAGCTTACACTGTCAGGCACTACGATGTATTCCAAAGCCATAATCATCATGGTATTTTCTTGGCAGATTGGGGAGCAGAGTAAGTCTGAATATAGATCCATGGGAATTTAAGAATTTGCTTTGTGATAGAGAATACTCAAGTCAGTTGTTCCCATGACCTTGGACTTCATTTGGGGTGGACAGAGATGAACCTCTCTTCTCCCTCCAAAGATATTCTTCCAGGGGCTTTGCCAGCAAGAGGCTGACTAAAAGCAATTAGTTCCAGTGTGCCCAGAGTGCTCCCTTCCCCTATCTTATATGGTCCTCAGGAGGCAGCATGAGATCAAATACACTAAAAAAGTAAAATAAAGTCCACTCTAACCCTAGGATTAAGTTATCCAAACCTACCATTGCAAATTAGAAAAAGGGAGAGAAAGTGAAACTCCCTTGAGCCCACTATGCACATATATTTATTTTTTTCCAAAACTGAGATCATAAAGTGTACGCAGTTTTGTAACCTGCTGAGTTCATGTCATATCATATATTGTGTTTAAATATATTTTAAGCCTTTGAAAATGTAATTTCTGATGGCTGTGTGCTGTTCCTTAAGAGGTGGACACCATGATTTGTTTAATTGTTCCCCTAAGGTTGATTCTTTTCTAGAAGGCTATTATAAATAATGTTCTTATGCTGTTTTTTAAAAGTTTCATTTTTGTTCATTTTCTTGGGCTTCTTGGGCTGGATTCCTACACGTGGATTCACCTGGTCAAAGGGAAGAACTGTGTTCTGAAGTCTTAATAGAAGATATGCAAATTGCTTTCCGGAAAAAAATGAACCAACTCAGGAAGTTAGCCCTGGCTTCCTACCTTCACACCAGCAGCAGTATTTTTAGTGTTTTTACTTTGGCAATTTGCTAGCCTCTCTGTGTGCCAGAACTAGTGCTAACGATTATGTAAGGTTACCTTCACACTCTCCTGGGAGGGGGCACTCATTTTACAGAGGATGAAACCGTTTGAGAAGACTCTCGCCTGGCCTCTAGGCCGGGAGCCCAGATTCAACCCGGGACTTCTCCAAGGCAGTCACCTAATCGAGGTGTCAACGTCCTTCCGCTTGGTTGGCAGCCTGGGCTACCCGGACTCTCAACTTTCGCTCCTTGCCACCGCCTGTGCCCATGTGGCAACAAAATGCGTTTGTTTTTTTTTTGTTGTTGTTGTTGTTGTTGCAGATGGACACAATATATTTATTTTATTTACTTATTTACTTTATGGGGTGGTGCAAATCGAACCCAGCGCAGCACGCATGCGAGGCAAGCGCTCAACCACTGAGCTATAACCTCAGTCCACAAAATGTGTTTTCTAATCCAGAGATTTGATGCTGTCATTTGCGGCCGTCACTCCCTTTCCTGCGGTTCCCTATCCTTCAGGGATGATGCCCACCTCCTCAAAGTCCCCACCTTCCTGGATGCATTTCTTCCCATCAGCGCCGAAATCCCCGCCCTGGGTCCTTAAGTCCGAGCTCCTCTGGGCTGGTTCAGGTCGAGTTAGAGACCTCAGCAGCCCACTCCCCCGCCCCGGGCTGCAGTAGAGCCCTTCCGGAGCCTTGAGGCAGCGCCTGTCACCTGACTGCGGTGATTTGTTGACGCTACCGGACAGCTATCATCTGCCTCAGGACTGCGGTCCCTAGCGCCACCGTGTGCCCCGTCCTCACACAGTCGGCGCTGAACGCAAAATAAGCGATTTGCCCAGGTGTGTAGACAGCTCTGAGCAGCAGAAAAGGGGAAAGGAATTGCCATTTAGAAACCAAGGATAGTGGGCAGAGTGGTCCTGGGTGGTGGACAGAGCGGTCATTAGGGGGACCGTTTTGGGGGCAGGATGAGGGGGCAGGGCCGTCTTTTATAACTGGACTCGGCTTTCCTCACCTCTCTGGCCAAGTCTTACAAGAAAAATACTTTCAGGCCAGCCCCGCCTCGCCTCGTTTTAGGGCAAACTCCCACGGGGCTGTGCGACCTTGGCCGCCCTCTCGCCGGCCCGGTAGCCGAATGTGCACCAGCCGGCTGTCGCCCCCTCCCACCTCAGGCCCTTGAGGGCTCAGGATCACGGGACGGCGGCAGCCTCGGAGAGGTGGGTTAGGGACGAGTCCATCTGAAAGTCCCTGGCGATGTCCTCGCCGGACGACAGACCCCTCTGGGCATCAGAAGGACCTGAGTCTCAGAGCCACCCCTTCCCAATGCAGAGGACGCGGGACGGAGGGTCTGCGTTGCCTGGGGCCCCCTGGCCCTCGGGAGCCGCGCCGCAGCTGCCCCGGCTCGGCTCGGGGTGAGCGGACACCGCGCCCGCAGCGTGACGGGCGCGCGGGGCGGTTTTGGCGGCACCGGCTGCAGCGGAACCTCCGGTCCTGCAGAGGGCGCTGCCCCGGCCAGCCAGGGCACTGGCCTTCCGAGCGTCCAGGCGCCCGCGGTGTTGCGGGGAGTCCCGGAACCCGCGAGCCGGAGCCACCGGGCTCGAGTGGGACTGGCGCGCGGTCGGCGCTTCCCGTGTGGCGACACGACTGCTGAGCGCTTGGGGGAGGCTGCGCAGTGGCCGCCGCGGAAGCCGTGCGGGGAGCCGAGGTGGGGGGCGGGGACGCGGAGGGCTGCAGCGACCGTGGCTACTTGCTCGGAGGCTGCAGGCTTCGCGGGCTGGCGGGGGCTCGGGATGCGGGGCAGTGCTGGCGGTGTCTGCCGAGGGAGGGGGCGGCGGCATCGGAGGGGCGCAGGGGCTGGGGATGGTGGAGGGAGGAAAATGAAAGGTTGGGGGAGGGTGATGATGTTATTGACACAACACAGGCACAAAGGGAGAGGGTGGCGGTCTCAGAGCGGGTGTGAGTGGGGAGTAGCTGGCATCGGGAAGTGATGGATGCAGAGATCGACTGGAGGTGGGGGCGGGGATGTTGGAAGCTTGGAAACGTCAGAGTTGGAGAGTTGGAGGGGCGAGGTTGGGGGTTTGGAGGAGGGACCGTTGGCAGGATTGGAAGGAAATTGGCAAGGAAAGTGGCTGAATCCTGAGCCTGGCAGGACTGGGGGCGGATTGGAAGGAAAGGGGTACAAATGTGGCTTTCCCCTGGCAGGGCTGGGAGTGAAGCTGTGCCGCTCAGCGCCGGTGTTTGCGACTGTGGGTTGGTGTGTATGGCCTTGGAGGCGAGGGGAGGGCATCAGGACTGACCCATGGTGGGGACCCGGCCTTACTCCGCTTCCCTCCCTTAGCCTCCATGTTCAACCAGCAGCAGCAGCAGTTCCAGCAGCAGCAGCTGCAGCAGCAGCAATTGCTGCAGCTCCAGCAGCTGCTGCAGCAGCCCCCACCACAGGCCCCCTTGCCCATGGCTGTCAGCAGGTGAGTTTCCCACTTGGGGGATGGAGGCCTCACTCTCACCCATGTCTTGCAGCACCTCCATTCAGTCCTTTGTCCCAGGGCATCCTTGTTTTGAGTCCTAGAGCTCATCACCTCCCACCCCCAAGGGGATCCTCCATCTGTGTGGGAGGGTGGGCTCAGGAGATGGGGGTCTCAAGGAGGAAGGTGGTTCTAACTTTCCCAACAACCCTCTGACACTCCCTCCAAACACACAGGGGCCTCCCCCAGCAGCAGCCCCAGCAGCAGCTTCTGAGTCTCCAGGGCACCCACTCGGCCTCCTTCCTCAATGGCTCCATGCTCCAGAGAGCTTTGCTTTTGCAGCAGTTACAAGGTATGACTCAGGCCCCTTTGCATCCTGTGTGGACACTGGCTCCCCAGCAAGCCAAGCACTCAGTCTCACCAAATCACAGTGATCCTGAGAGGGCCCTGACCCACAGTTAAGGACACCCAGGCTCCAGGGGTTGAAAGACTCTAAGCTGCTCAGCTGAATGCAGGTCCATCTGCAGACAGACTGAGGAGTGCCCTGGGCCATGACGCTGGCTCTCTGGGCAGTGCTCCATATACCTCACTGACATTCAGATTAGATGCCATCTGGCCAATGAGGAAGCTGAGAAAGGAAGTCCCTTGCCCTAGGTCACACAGCACACCAGCAGTGGCCCAGCTAGACCTCCTAAGCAGTGGGCCTTGAGCATTAAGGCTGTGCCCTTGCCTCAGTGTCCCCATATGGAAAACAGTGTCAGCTCTTCCTTCCAGGCTGCTGCTCCTGACACTACTGATGACCCCAAGGGAAGGTACACCAACAATCCTAATGAAAGCACTGAGGCCCAGAAAGGGAGCATGTGCCCAAGATGATCCTGCACAACAGGCAGGAGCTGACTGGATGGTCACCTCTTCAGCTTTGCCAGGGCCTCATGAGTGTGGATAGTCCTGGAAGCTGATGCTGACTTCCACATGACAGCTGTATAGATGAGAACGGAAACCAGACACAAGGACCCCCAGTGTATACATAGACATCCCCCCCCCCTCTCACACACACACACACACACACAGTTTTTTTTCAGTACTGTATTGAACCTAGGCCCTTGCAGGTGCTGGGTGAGAATTCTACCACTAAACTATGTGCCTAACCCTATTTCCCCCTTTTACTTTTGCATATTAAAAGTCACACTTTTCAAAGAGAAAAATAACATGTAAAAAAAGGGTGGGGAGGTGGGAAAACAGAAACTTGTGGAATTGTATAGACTATTGTGATTGACATAAGTGAGAGGCTCTTTTTTACTGAATAGAAAAGCATGATCTTTAACCATATAATTTGACATTCTCTGCCAAAGCCATTTTAACAGCTGTATAATATTTCATCAGAGGGATGTGCCCTTGCTTACCTAAGCCTTCTCAGCTGTTCTTTTTTCCATTTTAATAGAAATGTGATGTTTGAGACTTTTTTCTTTGAATAGATTCCCAAAAGTAGAATGACTGAGTTGAGGGGATGGATGTTTTATGGCTTTTGATAAATATTGCCAACTTGCTTTCCTAAAGGACTGGACCAGTTTGCAATGCCATCAGCCACGTATGACAGTGCCGGTCTCACCATGCCCACGGCAACATTGGGTATTATCTGCTTTTTTTATATATAATATATAATATATAAATGTATACATATACATATAATTTACTAAGTTGGTTGGCAAAACAAAAGAGCTGTGTCATTAATGTTTTAATGTACATTTCCTGGAGTGCTAGTACAGTTGAACATTTTTATATTTATCTGTTAAACATTTGTATTTTTTTGTGTGTATGTGGTTGTAGATGGACAGCATGCCTCTATTTTATTTATCTTTGTATGTGGCGCTGAGGATTGAACCCAGTGCCTCACATGTGCTAGGCAAGTGCTTTGCCATTGAGCCCCAGCTCCAGCCCCAATTTCTTTTTGTGACTTGTCCATGTCCTTTCTATCTTTCTTTGAAGGTATTCCATCTTTTGTCCTGCTGTTTTTAAGTGTTGGTTGGCTCTCTGCATATATGTATGTATGTGTTTGCATTAAGTTATATCAATTGAACACTTACAGTATACCATGCACACTTATATTTATTGAATTCTATTGAATTTTCGTAAAACATTGTGAGGCAATCGCTATTTTATAGATAAAGGAACTGAGGCTTAAAGCAGGGGATAGATTTGTTTAAGGACACAGACCT